GTTTGTTTCCCAACATAACAAACACCAGAAATGCACTTGGGCAAATGTGAAAAATCAACAGTATCTAAACCGTTTCAGACAATGCAGTAGCATCAGCTGTCACACTTGTATGATTATGATCAGAGACAGGATGTCGATATTAGGCTGTGGTCTTTACATGGTCTTTGAGAAGACTCACTGTGTTGGTTGTTGTGGCCCCAACGTTGATGTTTTTGAAGAGTTGTGGGGAGCCTCCATACTGGCCAGCTATCTGCTTCCTCACCTCTGCTGCCACAGTCCTGCAACCAGAGGAGGGAGTGAATACAGACAGTGCATCTTTACAGTCCATGTCATGATCTACACATTAGTCAAAGATACATAGGCTAGCCTAATTAGGGCTTTTATTTAGGGCTGAGGATCACAAAAAACATACTATAGCACTACACAGCTTTAATACTACTAGGGGTCAGTATACAGGTCATTTTATTATAACCAATATTGAAATAAAATGAGGTATAATCAGTGCTGCGAGGCTGTGGTGCCACTGTAGTATGGAAATATACACCACAAATATCAACTGTGGTATTTGTCCCTCTGATATGGCTGAGAATAAACAGAAAACTAAAGCTAACTGAACAGTTCAAAGCCAATGTAACCTCATACTTTAATGTAATACTGTGATGCAAGTGGTATTCAATATTCTAGCATTGTTCGGTTCAGTATTTGAAACTGTATAGGAGAAGTGTTATGACACTTTTTCATGCTGCTTGATTTTGCAAATCTCAAAGCAGACGCCGACTAACATTACCACTTCCTGTCCTTTTAGGCTTTTCTCTTTGTGTCTCCTTGGACAGAATCATGTCATATATTACACCGAGACAGAGAAGAAAGACACAAATGAAAACCTCTGGACTCCAGTGGTCAGCAAAAATCTCTAGGTGTTCAACCGCTGCTGTTGTCATACACATACACAGGTCCTTTAAATCACAGCAAACACCAAAACCACTCAGAGACCTTTGCCTTGAACAAAACAACAACGCAGCAAGTAGTCCAAAGTGACACAAACAAATAACAAATAAGAACCAAGGATAAAAGCCAGACACTGAGGACTCAAGGTGAAGTTACACAGGTATAAACAAGACTATAAGGATCCAACAATTATGATTTACTAACTAATTGCATTATACTAATATAATAACAAACCATCTTACCCATTTCCCTGCCTTTCTTTAATCTGCTTCCTGAAAGAAAAATCATAATAACTAGTTTAGAGCTTACTTTTTAAACTCTTAACCATGATCACAGTAATGATGGGCGAGGATTAGGTGTGATCACATCAGCCACGGCGTAGTACTGTAAACGTCTCACAGATTTTGGTTTCACTAAAGCCACTATAGTGCTGATTACAACACCCTTATATCTTAAAAATACAAGGTTGCAAACTAGATGACGTTAAGGAGCTTATTGTCTTAAGCAGAAAATTACAATGACAGCTGAATGATCCAATTTGCCATTTTGAGATAATCTCAATAATATACTGTAGTAGTGATCCAGTGGCCTCAGCATTGCAGCACTATCGCTACTGGAGAAAAGCAAAAGCACTGAACCCACAAACACATTCCACAGTTCTCCCCAATGCCTGTCAGCAGACCTTAACTTAGCACTGGTCAACACACAGAGGAATAACTTGGTTTAATAAACATCCTTTGAGGCCATCTCCTCAAAATGGTAACAAAAATTACTCTCAGGGAAAATACAATATAAACTGATGTCAAAGATCATAATATGAGAATCATTCAACTGAGATATTAACCTTCTACACAAAGCCTCTGACTTTTTAAGTTGCGTAATTTACCTTAATATGTTACATATGTTCACTCTCTTCTATTACTTAATGTCAGCATGACTAAACAAGATATAATAAAGGCACTTTATTTTTAACTGCTAAGTTAATAACATGAGCAAGGACAACAGTGTTGTGGCTAATCTGAGAGTCTGAAAACTGTGAACAAATGTTTAACCTTTATTTATTTAGAAGAGTCTCAGTGAGAAGCCAGCTGCACATATTCGGACAGTTGATACAACTCACTAAGACTTCACTAAGAGCATTAATTGCAGTATGATACAACAGCAAAGCACCTTTGTGAAGGTTATAATGTATACTTTCCTCTTGTAACTGTGTCAGAAAGGTAATGCCTTATATTTCTTGGGAATTATGAGTGCATAGTTTTTTTTAACTGTGTTACTGGATAGAAGGGTGGTCCTAGAGTACATCAAGTATTATTAAACTAACACTCACACATTATTGTTGCCTAATTCATTAGTGTATTTAAGTGACAGATCAGTAAAAATGTGTTTCTCCAATAAGAATCATGCAATAGCAACACTTCAAATGTTGTGTTTACCAGATGCTAATACATTTCTTGGAAATATAGCATTTAGCAGCAATAACAATAAAATCCACTAAAGATATCCAAGTCGGCTAGGATCAAAACAACCAATTAGAGGATGATTTTGATCATCTAAAAATATGTTAGCATCTCTGTGTGATGGGATGGTCTGTTCTAATGTTAACCTACCATGAGGTGTTCAATCTGCATATTTCAAAAAGAAACTGTCAATAGTTCGATGTGGTTTTGATTGACGGGAACTCATTCAACACTGTAATAGTAGCTACCAGTTAAATAAACTGGGCTCAATAAAGTTAAACATTATTTTTTTTAAGGAAATTAATATAACATATCATATGCATTGAATTTGTTTTCATTTGCATACAAAATAGACACATATTATCATTATTAGCCATACATTAATTGACAATAATAAAGATCAACAATGACAGCGATCAAAGCATTGTTATGTGGATGGCTGTCAGAGACAGCAGTTAATAACGATCTAAGCCTCAACGTCTATCATTGTTTATATCTAGCATCCATTCATATATCTGTTTATCTACCTATTGCTTGGGATGAAGGTATTTGACAGCTAGCACAAAGCCCTTTGTTAAAGAGATTACTTTGATCTGTCTGAGGGGCGTGGATGAGATTAATACATCGCAATTTAATAGCTGTAGGGGGGGGGTCTTTTGTTTCCAGTCTTCCTGTATAACAATCATCTGCTCCCTCTTGTCAGTGGGTTCTTGCTCAAAACATAACTCAACAAAGTTCAGTCTCATCTCGGCCAGTAGTAACGTTACCTAGCCCCCCATCGTTAGCTACTGTATGGACGATAGCTATCGTTTATTGTCCAAAATGAACGGTTTTCAGTTCACAGTAGATCCTTTTCGCTGCGTATAATAACTCAAAACCAAAGGACGGCTTTGTCATTATACATGTATTATAACATTATTACATATTTCTCATTCGTTAGCCTGTAGGGGTGTGAGAGACTAGCAGCTAGCGGTGTCCCTTTCTGTCTGGGTGGGTCTGAGCATCTCTGCCGATATGGCTAACAAGCGGCTAGCAGCCAGGCTATGCTGCTGTCCGGGCCTCCTCCACAGGGTCCCCTCGGTGGGGGTCTGACAGCAACCTACATTGGGGCTCAGTGGGCCTTAAACCAGCTCGTTTCGGGATCTCAAGTCATTTACCTGCTGATTTTTTGGGCGAAGGCGCGGCGTTCAGCCATGGCAGTGGCCGCTGATGTGCTTTAAAATTCCCAGGCAGGCAAGCAGGCAGCAGGCAGACTCCGCTAGTATTCACTCACTCACTAGGGCCACAGGGAAAACGGGAAAACCGGAGAACGGGATCATTACCGTAATTACCGGAGTGCTGTGCAGCAGAACACACCCAAAGAAAAGCCGCTGCGCGTTTTACTGTGAATGATAAAGATATACTAGGCTACAACAGCTGGACAGATTATTCGCCCTTATAAAAGTCGTGCACTTGTATTTATGTTTTCACCCAGTCTTTTATTTAAGTCTGATGAATTCTCTGATGAATGACCTAAACTCATCCTGCAAAACTGAGGTTGTTTTATTCATCTGATTTAAAATAATCAATATATCGCGCCTTTACGGTAATCGCTGAGAACATGCATTATTGTACTCTGGAGGGGAGTTTGACAGGGGATTACTCAAAAAGTACACAGTAAAAAAATACTTGATTGTACTTGTGGCAGTAGTCCAAATAGTACTGAGTCCAACAGTACCAATTGTATTAAGAACTTATTGCAAAATCATTTTATCTCTCATCAAATATAGCAGAAGTGGCATGATTTTGTTCTCAGGAGGGGAATTTGAGAGAGTATTACCCAGAAAAAACACAGTAAAAGTACTTTATTTTATTGTTTGTAATACTGTGATGCAAGTCGACCGAGTCAAAAAGTGTCCGTTTTTTTTAAGAATTTATGGTAAAAATGATTTGTATCGCAAATAAAGCAGTAAAAACATGCAACATCAGTGCCGCTAATCGGCGATTACCGTAAAGACGCTATCAATCGCGCACTCAAAAATGAAGAGCCGCTCATTTGACCAAGCAAACGCGAGAGACGGCTGAGTTGATCGCAGTTGTTTTTATTAGCTGTTGAACATTTTTTTGCAATTACTTTTTAATACATGTTCAGGTTCAGCAACTATGCAAGCTCCCAATCTTAAATCTTATATTGCCTTTTTGGTATTTTGCACTTTAAAATATATTATCAGATTTTCTTTATATGGTTATTACTACTTGACCCCTACGATGTGTAGTCTTGTTGATGTCACTGTGACAGAATAACATTCCCCAAACGCGCAAATAGCTGGAGTGTTATAGAAAGTTAATTAGAGCTGAAGTGTGTATGGCCTTTATGGCTTTTATCATCTCTCTACACGCGGCGCTGGCTTTTATCAGTTGCCCTGCCTTTATACTACAAAGTATGCATGTTTTGTCGCAAGCAAACCGTTTTAAGGTTTTAACTCTGGACATTTAAATCCTCGGCAAACTGTTCAAACGCCGCCCGACCGAGCTACATTGGTTCTTATATCGAGCCTCTCCTTAGTCCCGTCAGAGACACCGCGAGATCACGTGACTTGAGCTTTACTTCCTTAAAGTGTAAACATTGACGACCGCAGGGCACTTAAACAACAAGCCATGGCCGATTCACAGTGTTAAGCTTTTAGTATTGCAAAAAATATTCAGCTATGTGACATCTGTAAAGAGCTGCAAAGCGGCTGGAACTGAGGAAGACCGGGATCGAAGAAGCTCCAAGGTAACAAGTAATATGTAATGTAACGATGTGCTCACTGTAAACTATCATTCACCTAATTTCACTTTGTGTAGTGATACTGAATCTGATACGGTCAATTCTCTTTTGTGTGTGTCTGCGTGTGTGTCTACGTGTGTGTATGTCTGTGCACGGTGCAGCAGGGTTTGTGTGCTGTGAGGGAATGGGTTACATGCCTTGCTGTTCCAAATGGAGAATAAAGGGAGCGACGAGGTGGAAACATTGAAGACAAAGTTTGTGTCTGTGTGGCACAATGTCAAGTACAGTAAGTAATTTGCTTAAGGCCACCCATGCACACAGACTACCCAAAGTGTCTGTGTCCACTTGTTTCTCAGGCCATGAAATGACTTCTGCTCTTTTTTCGACCTGTTTATATTTAGTCCATTCTTCTCAATTCTAAGCTGAAGTAGGTTACCTAAATTGGAGATTTTACAAGTGAAATCAGAATAAGTTGTATTGGCCAAGTATGTGTACTGTACACATGCAAGGATTGTGAATTGTTGCACTTTTTTGCACACAGTTCTATGAACAGTTTTCAGAAGATAGAGGTGGACATACAGCTAAAAACAAGAACAATAAAGGGAGATTAAAATGATAATGTGTCTCCACAAATGAAAACAAGAATCATCCACTGACACAACAACCTACTGCTGCTGAGTCAGCTCTTAAAATAGTCATACTGTCCACTCTGGTTTGTGTGTGGCTTTTTTTGCTTTCAACTTAAGTTTCTGTTCACTTAAAAACTCAATGTTTGTTTCCTACATTTTATTTAACCTCAAGTTAAGACAAACTAAATAATGTAGTAGCCAGATATCTGGGGTATCAATCCCGATTGAATGAGTGGTGCTGTGAAGTAGGTGCAAAAAACCAACTGAGTACACATACTCTTTATTTTTACTCATTGTTATTTATTTATTTTTAATGTATTTTGTCTTGCTCTGTAAAGCACTTTGTGCTGCATCTTGCATGACGCTAGATGCTTATAAATTATACATTTATTATTATGATTATTATCTTAATTTGTTTTTGTTTTAACCCTCACCTGAATTATGACACATGGTCTTTTTATTGTGTATGTTAGGTTGGGCTCTGAAATCAAAGACCTCTTTCAGTAGAAATTCCCCAGTGCTTCTCCTCGGAAAATGTTACCATTTTAAGGCGGAAGGTATGATGCACCCACATTATGCACAAACACTTACAATTTAGATTAAATCTAAAAGTAGATTTACCATCCCCACAGGACACAAGATGAAAAACTGCATATCCTGAGTGGATCACATGTGATTTGTTTATCTCAGATGACGACAGTGTTGCAGAGGCCTGCTCTGAAGCCTGTGATGAGGACTCTGTTGTGGGGAACGTGGAGGCTTTCCGCAAGGATTTTACGTCCCGGGTGTGGCTCACCTACAGGGAGGAGTTGCCCCCCCTCCCCGGCTCCACCCTGACCTCGGACTGCGGCTGGGGCTGCATGCTGAGAGCTGGGCAGATGATGCTGGCTCAGGCCCTCATTCTGCACTTCCTGGGCAGAGGTGAGTGGGATTGGGATAGTAGAGGATAGCAAATATATTTGTTTAACCTCAAAACTATGTTAATTTTCTATGGCTGTATTTTCATAAGTACAATTTTATTTAAAAAAACTAGTTTTCTTTAGCATATCAGGCCTCTAAAAGTATATATTTAACCATTTTAAAAGGGAGAACCCCATTGGTTACATAAATAAAAACAACTACTGTAATCAGGAAGTCCCACAAGGATAACGTTTGGGAACCCCTGCTTGCTCTACATGTCAGAGAAGGGGGCTTTTGTCTGGAAAGAAAATGTGAAGCTTTGGACAAGCAGGGACATTTTAGTTTAAAAAAATGAAACTCTACCTTCTGCCAATATTGCAGTTATGGTCAATATTTGAGCCTGCTTACACCCTGCAGCTCACATGGGCATGCAAAATACTTTTTTTATGATACAGAAATCCCGGACAGGACAATACTAGTATTAGTAATAGTATTTCTACATGTATATTTTCCACATGTGTATATATTTTTTTTAACTTTTTAATGCTATTTTTATGCTGCTGCAACGCAAACATTTCCCAAATTGGGGTCAATAAAGTACTTATCTATATATCTATACAACCAGCAGGTAAACTACAGCAGACGTACGTAATGTGGTACGGTTAGTTATAATAGTTACAAAGAAATTGCATCTGTCATTGTAGGTACTTTTGAAATACACCTAAATTGTGCCCTCAATCTAAAAGGGAAAGTTTAATTGAGTTGCTGCATTTTTAAATGAGTGAATTCCTCACATCTTTGTCAGATCTATTGTCTCTGAAGTGTCCTCGACTTTACAGGTCCACGTAATGAGATGACTGCCAGTTTAATGCAGTCATTTAGAAAACAATATTTAAAACTTGTTCTTCTGTCAAATCTAAAATATGTCACTAATGAAATATTTCTCTATAAAATGACTAATGGCCACTTAAGAATATTTATTGATCAATTTCACTTTGATTCACTTTGGATCAAGGTCATTTTGTTAATGCCTTAGACTCTACTCTGGCCCTTTTTATAGCCCGGACCACTCCCTGTCTCCCCGCCTTCGGCTCCCCCCCTGTTTGTAAGGCTAAGGCACAGTTAAAGTGAAATACTGGGACACTCAAACTTATAATTGAACAGAATGACACCTATTATGTTACTGAAGTGCACAATGTTCTGTTCGTATGAGTCAAAAACCTTACATTTCCTAAGTTCTGAAAGACTTTTTGTTCTCAATGGTGACGCTGTAAATTGAACTTTGATGGGTCGAAGGATCAGAGAGCCTCATAGATACCTGGTTGAATAGATAGATTCCATTAATTTCAAGGTTTTTAAAACATGCAAGCTTTTCTTGCACCAAAGTAGGACTTGGGAATTGCTAATTTATTTTCTTTCTTGTCATGTTAAAGTTGTTTTGATGTGACCTCTTTCATTTCCTTCCATATTTCTTTGAATTAAACCTAATTTCTTGTATTTGAGTTTGGTAAAAGTTGTTTTTGAAAAGGTGGCAGCCACTTGGTCTACAGTTTGAAATGGGCATTCATATAATGATAGATAGATAGATAGATAGATATATACTTTATTAATCCCAAATTGGGAAATAGTTTTGTTACAGGACCAGCGTGCTCTACATTAAAATACAAATACTTAAAAAGTGTAAAAGAGTTAACAATTAAAGATAAAATTAAAATAGTATATCAAATATAAACAATATACAACATTCTGGACAATTACAATTTTCTTTAAAAAAGAACATTTTATATTGTAATGTATTGATCTCTAATATAATATAATATAGATAAAATATAAACAAACTCTAAACAAGACTTAGTGATTGACGCCCTCATCAAATAGCATAATTATTCAAAGATTGGCCAAAAACATGACAAATTATCATATTAAAACGTGTATCTACAGTAATGTAGAAGATTGATTTACCATCAGTCGACAAAGAGATATAGTTCTCAGGACAAATAATATACATTTATTCCCAGGCTGTTTTAAAACTTAGTTTCTTTTTGGTCCCAGATGTTGTATCTCTGATTAATTCCTCCACAGACTGGACCTGGTCGGAGGCGATGGCCCTGCAGCCTTTAGACACAGAGACGTGGACCACCAGCGCAGCCAAGCGCCTGGTGGCCTCACTGCAAGGACCCTCCAGGCCTCCAGAGCATGGCCCACCCCCCCCACTCCAGACCCAGGCCCCGGGATCTGCAGAGGAGGCAGATGCTCATTTGAAAGAGATGTACCACCGCTCCCTGGTGTCCTGGTTCGGCGACAGCCCCTCGGCTCAGCTCGGCCTCCACAGGCTGATCCGCACCGGCCTGACCATGGGGAAGCAGGCGGGGGACTGGTACGGGCCCGCTGTGGTGGCACACATCCTCAAGTAAGTCTAAGAAAATGTTTAAGGCACAACTGATTCGTTTTTTATGTGCACTCATGATTTGATTTATAATTTTGAAAATGAAATGTCTTCAAAAAAGAATTGATACTCAATAGGCGCATTCACACCAAGTACTTTGCCGTATTTAGTGCCGGCACTCAGAGCCCCGGCACTTATTACCCCAGGGCATTTAGTACAGATCGCGTTCACACCGGAGTACTTTTCCCTGAGGGAAGATTACGCAAATGAGCCGCTGACGTCACTTCGTCTTCGTCTTCTTCTGCTTTGGGTTTACTGGCAGGCCGCAAACAACTTCACGGCGTATACTGCCACCCGGAGTCCCCGGCCGGAAGTCCCCGGAGTTGGGGACTGGTTTCAGTAGAAGCTGCTGGGACTCTCAGCAGCTTCTACTGAAGCCTTCCGAGTAAATCGCCAGAATGCCGACACCTCATCTCCACCGCTCCCATGTTTTATTTTGTGTTGCCATAAGTTAGTCTCTCTGCGTTTGTGCGCTGGGCGAATGCTAATGCTAATAATGCTAATGCCAGGATAATGAAATGGCGGCTCTACAAAACATTTCAGAGTTGTACGGGGCGTGGTTTGCAATTCGCCCAGCCAATTAGAACTGGGGCACTTTTTTCCCCCAGGAAAGTACGATCTCTCAGCAGGCACTAAAAATGGGGGTAAAAGTTCCCGAGATTAAGTGCTCTTTTTGGTGTGAACGTGACATAAGGGGTACTAACGGAACTAAACGCGAAAAGTACGGTGAAAAGTACTCCGGTGTGAACGCGGCTAAAGTCTAGATTTTAGAATGAAATGAAGCAAGAACAAGGACCTGTGACCAACAAATGTTTGACCTTTTTCTTTGAAATTCAGTGAAAGGACAAGCACTAAAAATGTCCCTGGAAGCTCTGGAAAATACCACTGCAGCATTATCAGTTTCTCTGTTTTTACTTTTTATATGTATGTGTTTGAGTCAAATATTGTTTTAATTTGGTATTGTCCTATCATATACACAACTATGGTGTAGTTATGTAATGAATGAAACACTGGTCACAGGTTCCTCAACAATTCAATTACAAGACGTAATAAACAACAATAACAAATAGTGCAAGCTCAGACGTGAATAGTCTTATGTCCTGAGTCTGGTGGTTTTAATCCTGATGCTGAGGTACCGCCTGCCAGACGTAAGTAGCTACAGAAAAAGATGGTAACACATCGTAGGACTAAAACTTAAAAAATGCCAAAGTAGGTTTTAGCTGAATTTTATAGTGTAAAAAAGAAAATCATATTTTCTGATTTGGATTATCATTACATTTTGTGTGAGGTAATCTTAAGTGTGCATCATATTAAATCACTTAAGTTGAGAAAACAGCCTGCAGATGAATAAAATAATGCAAATTAACTAACATAGGAATTTTGCAGTACAACATGTATTGTTGTAAAATATCTTTGAACAGACACACTGCTCTGACGCTGGATAACATATTATTAAGTGACACACAGTATATCCTTGATGTTGACTGACTTAGCATAAGCTCTATATTAAAAATCCTCACTTCCTCCGTCTCCCCTCTCTCTCTCTCTCTTCCATTCCTCTGTCTCTTTCTTAGGAAAGCTGTGGAAGAGGCGATGGACCCTGGCTTGGCGGGTATAACTGCTTATGTCTCCCAGGACTGCACAGGTATGAAAGATGAGCCTGCTGTTGATAAAAACAGGATACTGGGCACAACGCCCAAACTGACCCTTCTTTCTCCACCATCTCTTTCTGCTGCTGTGAGGACACTGTGGAGCTGAATAGAAAGGTGACAGGATGCTCACTGTGTCTATTCCCCAAAAATACATTCACTCCAAATCTATAACGTCCCACACCAACCTCAGCTTAACCCCAATAACTTGGGTTTTGAGTTGTGTTTGTCATCTCAATAGCCAGAGCAGAAGATAGCTGGTCTGAGAGCGAACATCTTGTTGGGTTAAGCGTTTAATATTAGAGAGTCAGAGAGAAAATGGGGAGTGAATTTAACTTGTGTGCTCCTGTCGCCATGACAGTGTTCCAATTAATCAAATGTCAATCAAATCATATTAGCAGTTAACTATTTGGATGATCAACTGATAATATTTTAAGTAATTTATCAAGCATGTATCCTTCACATGCACAGTTTCTTGTTTCTAAAAATGTAAGGAGATGCAAGATTCCCTGTTTTACATCACTTTAAATTAAATCTCTTTTGGTTTAGGATGGTTGATTTGACTAAACAAGTATTTAAGAAGACGTTATCTCGGGCTCGGAAAATTGTGATTGACAGTTGTATCATTATCTGAGACGTTTGATATAAGAAGTTGAACAATTCCCTCTGTAAAAGTAAATGATAGATTTACCCACAGAATAATTCACAGAACCCCGTTTTGTGAAATATTTCAAAATTAAGTGTGTTTAAGTGGCATACACTAACTGGCAAAAATGCATCTATCTGTACAATTTCTCTTCTGAGAAAGAAGAATTTAGTATCTCACAGATTAATAAAACATAATCATAAGTAAACCACCCTTATATTTGGTAAACCAGGACCAGGGGAAGCCTGATGAGCATTCAGAGTGGCTGACAGATTGAGGGCTGACAGACATGAAAGCAGACAAATGACCTTTGTGTTATTGATCCTCCACAGTGTACAGTGCTGATGTCATCGATAGCCATAGGGCACCAAGAGCAGGGCAGCCCTCTGCAGAGAGATCAGAGGCCCCGCCCACCTCACAGAGCGACCAACCGGTGTCAGCCTCCACCCTGACTGACAGCCGAGCCGTCATCATCCTCATCCCTGTGAGGCTGGGAGGGGAGAAGACAAACCCGGACTATTTTAACTTTGCAAAGGTGAGAAATACATGGAGGTCAACGGTAGCTGAACCAAATTTTTTCAGTCTGATAATTGTTTTTAAATGTTGGTGTTTGATCACGTTTTGCACGTACACTTCTAGGTGTAAACTGAGTAAGAGTTATAGTCATGCTGTAAAAAGGAAGTAGACATAATGTGGAATGGCAAGTTTAAAATATATGTTTAATTGAGATATTGTATATGGAAATTAATTGTAGGAATTTAGGCTCCGAGCCAGATTTATTTTGTGTTTCTTTGTCCCACTCTCTGCATTCAGAGCATACTGAGTCTGGAGTACTGCATAGGCATCATCGGAGGGAAGCCCAAACAGGCCTGCTACTTTGTAGGATTTCAAGGTTAGTGTTGGCGTAATGCAAAACACAAAAAGACACAATGAGAGAGCTTGGTGTGAATAACAGGTTATTTTGCATAATATACCCTTCTTATGTGAAAAGACAAAGTAAGTTAATGTATTCCTGTTTGCGTGAGGAAAACGGAGAGGAGTGGAGATGGAAGCAAAGTGAAGCAGCGCTTACTTTATTCTCTCTGACCCATCAAAGCCTCACCCATTTATCACAAGTAAACCTCCCAAGTTGTGAGCTGTAATTGATTTCCATAGGAGGCATGCATTACATTTCATCCGGGCCCCAAAGTGAGCCACTCTTCATCACCTTCAGGAGCCAGGAGGAACCTTCAGTTGTACATCTTGGCAGTCAATATTTACGCATTTACATTTTACCAATTTGAAATACAGTGGTGGATGATGTCTAAATGACAAGCAATACATTCTCCCTGCCATGCCGCGGCTCAGCGCTGCATTCATCATATGCAAATGGTCCAATATAATTGCGTGTTTTTAAAAGTAATTCCCCCACACAAAAATTAAATGACAACCCCTTTTTTGTGTCGGTGTAAAGAATGTGCTTGTACAAACGCATTTGATTATGCAGAATGTAATCCACCCTGGTGGATATTAAAAAGCAACAACCTTCTGGGAGGCATATTTGACGCACACAAGCCTAACAGTAGGCCAAGCAGGTGACTTTGAGCTACTCTGCATAGAAATTGGAGAGAAGCGCGTTTTTGTAATAATCCGATGTTTTTGAATAACTTGTCTTTTGTTTTGTCCTTGCAGATGACAGCTTGATTTACATGGACCCTCATTACTGTCAGTCTTTTGTGGATGTCAGCACCAGCGATTTCCCTCTCCAGGTAATGTGAAATTACACAGACGAGCTGACTGGAGCCCCAGTAATGTGAATTTAATAGTTTCTGTTAGTACTTAAGGGTATGAATCTTAAAGCAGCCCCTGGCCCAATTACCGAGTCCCTATCTGCTGATTTATTTGCTGCTCAGATGTGTGAAGCTGCCACTTAAGAGAAATACGGCAAATACCAGATCAGGTACTGTGAGCCTGAATATTTCAGGAGCCATACATAAAAACCATCTCACAGCACTGTGTAGCAACTTTTGTTTTATGCTTTTGCATGCAGTGGTATACAATGTGACAACACAGCAGAGTTGTAAATGTATGGATGCAGTGACAGCAGATAAATAGGATTGCATTCATCAAATGATGCAGAATACATCTTATTCGCTGTTGACGCTGCCTTGGAGTGTATGTATGCCCCGCAGTTGTTGCACATTATCTACAGCTTGATGATTATTTTCTGATGTATTTTGTCTCTTTTTGTCCAGTCATATCATTGCCCCTCGCCAAAGAAGATGCCTTTCAGCAAGATGGACCCAAGTTGCACCATAGGTTTCTACTCTAAAAGTGCTCAAGACTACGAGAGAATCAGCCAGGAGCTTTCTAAGGTAGGGAATAGTTGTCTTTGTAACAGGCTTTATTAAAAAATTAATTCACCACTTATTTATTATTACCACCCCCTGCAAATGTGTGGTTAGAGTGATACAAGTTGACCAGTAGATGGCACCATTTAGCCATGAATCTGCTCTTACTTTGCTTCTCCAACCAGGCAACATGTTGGCTACATTTAGAAGTCTTACCCCCGTAGCTTATCACATTTCTGCTTAGAGGACTCTACGTACTAAAATCAATATCCTCTACAAGAGAGGTGCAATAAGATGCCCCTCGTTAGGTTAAGTGATGAAATTGAAAGCAAACTGTTATGAAGTGTACGGCATGGTGTAACACTAGCACTCTGAATCACTGCTCTGTGGTTCCAGGTGCTGCAGCCGTCAGCCAAGGAGAAATACCCGGCGTTCACTTTCGTCCAAGGTCACGGCAGAGATTACGACCTGTCTGCAGGCCTGACCCCGGAGAAGAGAGAATGGCCCTTTATCCGTGACCCCCGGAGGACGGTCACCACCACCGGGGACTTTGTGCTGCTTTGACAGCGCGGTTTTAAAAGACTACAGACAGGGAACTTCTTCTGATGAATCACACTGCTTGATACATAAAGCTTTGTGTTTTAGTCTGCTGGGACACTGATGCTTATGGGATTTTTTTTTAAATACAGTAACTCAGTTAATACCTCCTGAAAACTTTGTTGCCAAGCAGGCTTTGCCATAACATTCTTTGGACTCATTTTTGTTGTCTGGAACTGTGAGCTTCCTGACATTTTTTTAGGAAGCTTTTGGTGCTCTCATTTTTTTTTAATGAGCTAAGATGTCGTCTTATGCAAAGGAACATCGATTCTAGTGGAACACCTCAATTTGCACCAAATATCGACATACTTATTTTGGAGGATTTTTTTTTTATTACTTACTTCATGTTTAGAAGTCTTAAAAGTATTTTCCTCATCATGATCGTAAGGTCCAGTTAATCACTCCCACATGTTTTCAAGGCTAACAGTGTTATACAGTAGTGTCATTGGAGTAGAGTGTTATTTTCACAGAGCCACATCTCAGTTGGGATAAGATGATTATTGTTAAGCCGTAATTAATATGGGCAAAGGGCTCTCTGAACTTTGGGAAACTTTTACTAAACTATTCTGCCAAAAACCTTTCATTATACAGGATGAATTCTTCACCCGTCTGAATCCCCTCGATAGCAGAAGCATACGGGACATTTGTTCTGAAACACACTTATTTCATTATTGTGCCAACATGTCTTTCATTCACGTTACAGCTCATGTCGTTCTCTGAGCAATAACATATAATGGTGTTGTATGACGATGTGGTTCTTTGCGTGCCTCCTGTGTTTTTAGGTGGTACTGTAATGAACTACCCTTAACAATAGAGTTATTTAGATATAAAGTATTTACTGTATTTGTCTAATTAACACTGAAGTAAGTTTTAAGTCACACAATTGTATTGTGGAGTAGCAATCTACACCTCATGATGAAATCAGAGACATATCAACCTTCCAAATAATAATTATTTTATATGCTGCATGTATGAACCATTTTGGTTAATCATTTCTACACATTTGTATCATTTCAAACCATCCCTTTTTTATATCTCATACAATATGCAAAAGAAAGGGAATTTACTAACATTTCATATTATGGTCATTAATGTTTTTCCTTCTTTTGATTATCTTTTCCTCAATTCTAGTCTCCAGCAGTGAGTAACTCAATGCTATAATGCTTTTTTAAACGCCTTTACAGTATCTCCATCTTAACAAACTAGTGAAGTGAAGAAGTATGTGAAAACACATTAAGATGCCAAACAGGAACATGCACTTTGTTCTGATCACTTTCACATGACTGAAGTATTCTGCCTGTTGAATCTATTGTATGTACTTCTTTGCACTGCAACAAATGCACGTCTGTTTGCATAAATTCACTTCGAAAATGTTAAAAAATAAATAAAACTGCCAAAAGAAAAGTGAATAAAGGCAAAATATTTGACTCTTTTAATCAGTTTGCTTCGTGTTTATCAACTTTTAGAATTTGAGGTGACTAGTTGAATAAAAAAGCACTAGATACAAACCTCAGTGATGTGTTGAAATGTATTCAATCCCTTTCTTTCCCGGTCAAATGTAGTAGATTAAAACTAATCGTACGTGCTAACCATCTCTACAGCCCATTAACCAGGGACCGGAAAAAATGTGACCCAGTGACACTGGCGGCAATTGTGTTCCTCTGCAGAGGAAAAGAAAATATCCTTGTGTGCAAAGCTCTGTTACCATGGATAATCTGTGTGTTGCCCCCTTAGTTTGAGCTATGCTGGACTGTTTTCCTGTACAATACAAATTCTTGTATTATGATGAGCCTTGCTTTTTAAAGGAGGGAACTGTCCCCTCTGTGAGGAAGCCGGGCCAAGGGGGAAGATGGACGGACCGAAAAAGAGAAGAATCCCTCATCTGTTCTCTCCTTCACCATGGAGAAGAAATGGCAAAACACATAAAGGCATCATTTAGATCCCCTGTCTGATCTGTGTTTGTCCATGTGTCTTTTTTTCTTTTAGCGGACGACTAGCCGTCTGTGTGGACAGAGCGGGAACATCAAGTATGCAGAGGCAAAGGACCAGTGACATTTCCCAACTTTGGAAGATTGGAAGGCTTGAATGGACAGGAGGGAGGCGTAGGGGAGGGGGTGAGACATTTGGGGATTTTTGTGAGAAACATGAAAGAGCATTTGTGCTGGGGGGCACACAGCGCTCTGAGAGTTGACTGTGTTCTTTATGTATTTACAGGGGATGTATGAATATTTGATTAATGAGTCACAGGCTCAAGGGAAATGCAATAAGCGAGTGGAGGCTTTACAAAGCCACACCATGCCCTCTCGTTTAACACAGCTGCCTAGTGTCATAGACATTGCAGATTCTTGAAAATCTAATCTGCAGCAGAGCAAATTCCTCACAAAGAGGGAGTCCATGAAAGTCATTCCTCTGTTCCACAGAGATGGGTATGTGGGTTGGGGGGTGCATGAAAAGACCCCGAGACACCCAATAAGGATTTTATTTTTATAGGGAGGCGTGTAGCGCAGTGGATTAGTGCGTTGGTGTTCGGATCAGGGGAGCACAGGTTCAAACCCCACTGCAGTCAGCATGTCGTTGTGTCCCTGGGAAAGACACTTCACCCCAAATTGCTCGTGGGGATTGTCCACAGTATTGAGTATGTAAGTCGCTTTGGATAAAAGCGTCTAACAAGTGACATGTAATGTAATGTCGGTGTCATCCATGGGAATAAATGGCCTGTGGCATGTAGCCCAGAGGGATCAACAGGGAAGGGGCATTCTAACGTCTTAAGATCACACCTGTATCATAGATAAACCCCAGATTAGAGTTAGTCCTGCAGGCTTCTTGGACAAGGACACCTTTGGGACTTTATCCACAAACCAAAGTTGAGATCTGAGAGCAGCTGGGGGAATCTCAATACCTAGATAAGCTGTTAAAGGCATTAAGGTCACAGTTTCGATGTTATTCTCAAAACATTCCAGAGAAAAGGGGAGATATCTGGGTAAAAAAAGGGCATTTTCTATCACGTTTTATTCATTTTCAAATAGTAGGACAAAAAAGACCAGTGTCGATCTTGCAATCTAAGTGCATGTAGATCAAGATTAATCATGTCATTTGTGAAATGAATGGTATTAATAGATATAAAGTAAATGTGTATTGGGTGGGGCCTGTTAAGGTCTCTGAGTTTCATGGACACAATGTGAACACATAAAACAACTCTGTTTTTCATGAAGATATTATCTCATTTGTGTGACTTAGCTTTGCTGACGAAAGTGACCGTGATACACCACAAAGTGTCGTTTCTATTCCCTCTAACCCGTGCTTCTGAGGATCTCCTCCAGCCAAGATCAGACCATGCCTGAGGACGCTGTGGACATCCAGGAGAATTAGATTGAACAAAAAGGGGACGACACAGGGGGGAAAGTAATATGCACAGTCTGTGTACGTGTCTGTGTGGAAGTGAAAGAGCTAAAAAGCGATGTGTCCGGTCTTTTCAATTCACGAGTAGTGTGTAAATTTACATGGATGAGTGTGTAGTTTACACATGTACGTCTTGTGTGTAAGTCATTCTAAATCTTAGGTGTCACACTCCCTCCCTGTCTTCACACCAGGTGCAGGGGTGCTAGATTTATACCCAGTAGCCCTTGCCCACCCTTGTGGAATGCCATGCATCTTCAAACAGGTACTTCACTTTGAAATCTCATCTCGGCGTGATATCTCTAGGCGGCTAAATATATCCGGCTCCCGCAGCCGTCGGAGCGTAAATACCGCCTGCGCTGCATCAGTCTGCATTCAGAGTCTCAAGTCTGTCCACGCAACTGTCCACTTGTCTCCGCCCGTCTCCTTCCAGCAGCTCCCCCCCCCCCCCCCCCCCAATCTATCCTGGAGCTCCTGGAGAAGTGCTGAGGCACTGCATGCCTCGCACTTCTCTTCTGGGCTGAGGCCAGACAGATGTCATGATGCTGTGATTAATCAGCAGCACACAGGACCGAAGCTTTGAGGGTACACCCCCACGTGAACATGACCCGCAGCACACATTAGGTCAAAGGTTCTGCAACTTTCTTCTCCACAGGAATCAAACAGGAGAAACATATTTTCAGCCTATTTATATCTGCTCTTCATTCTTTTATGAATCACAGAGCAGAGGCATTCCCACATTCGTACCCTGTTCCAGATAAACAAGGCAGCAAGAGTGATGCGATTCCTTTGATAACCCATGATAGACTTAGTAACAAGTATTTTCAGTATTTTTCTATTGTGAGTAAATGGTCACTTATATTTTTTTTATTGTTTTGCAAGACAATTATAATTTGTTTTATTAATTACAAGAAATAGTAATTTGAACCTCACAAAATGACTTATTTAGGTTTTAGGCATGTGAAAAGTGTGCAGATAAACACAGTTCAATTGGATTAGTTTATAGTTGGTTTTGTGTAGGATTGATGAAAAAGCTCTTAATAGTATTGTTAGTGAATTCAAACATATCATCCACACTTGCCTGAGGGTTGTCTTGCAGTTTGTGGCTCCATGATAAGTGCTTTAGAACTTTAGATAATGGATGGACTTCAGTATCTATATACACAAAAAAGTCAAAGGTTTTATCAATATAATTTAGAAATAAAACACTTAATTACAACACAATCCTGGCCCTAAAGCAACAGCTTCACTTTAAGATGGCAACGTGTCACCAGGTAGGAGATTTTGTTAAGTTTGATAAGAGTTGAATAAATCGATTGATTACAAATAATCAACTATTGAAGTCCTATTACCTAATGGGCAGTGCCGCTTTAAACAATTATTATTTGAGTTGAAATGACAAACTTCTTTTTAGAACAAGGACAGTAAGGACGTCATTCTCCTTCTCTTTAGATTACATATTGAATTGACCAGATAAACAAATACCGGTACATACTGAGTGGCACTTAGATCAGAATGAAAATCCCTTCCTTGCTTTACTTTACCTCAAAATAACTTATGAAAGTGGGCTGTATTTTCTTTTTAAGTGCCATTGTTTTGCATCAGAGTCTTCCTCTCTTCCTACTGAGAGGAGTGTACCATGGCAGAGGCCCAAAGCAAAGCTCCTCACCTTGTGTTGGCTAACCTCGGCCCGCCTGTGACAACAAGAAGGGCACTGAAGTTAACATTTAGATAACGGATGTGTGTGCCACTTTCGATTTCCATTCCCGGTGACAGGGAATCTTAGGAGCACATCACGGGTTGTGTATATGTGTGTGTATGTGTGTGTCTGTGTTGGGGGGTGGGGGCACTCCTGTGTTTCCTGCATCTCAGGGGTGATGTGGAGGAACGCCGAAATTCCTCATTCTGCTGTCCTCTGAGGCATGGCCGGCCCTCTGTCAGCCTTTGCTAACCAGATGCATCCGAAACAGGCGCCGAGGCTGAAGGCAGGGGATATTGCCTGCTGTGTAGCTGTCGACTTGTTTCTCATTGCATGCCTGTGTTGAGCGGGGTGGCAAGTGTGTGTGTGTGTGAGTGGGTGGGTAGAGGTTAGGATGGTGTCAGCCTGTCTGTGAGTCTGTGTAAATGTGTGTGGCAGGACATGCTATGAATTTAGGAGTGTGTATCATCCACCACACAAAAGCCGTTACTCTAGTGTTGTCGTGATGCTGGGGACTGTACGTTTTGTCCAATGACTAACTAATGATAATCAGTGTGTGATTTTTAACAAGTGTGTATGGCAGGGAGATATACATTAAAATGGAAACACTGAGAGAAATCTATATGAGTTCTCTTCTTTATTCTTTCTTGTGTGTGTGTGTGCATATGCCAGTGTGTGAAAGGTATCCTCCATCCTGCAGATTTGTGTGATACTTTGCAATCTCATCTCCATCTAAAACTCCTGCAGGCCCTGTGCACCATTATCACGCAGTTGCAATAAAACCCACAGTAATTAAAGGGGATCTGGCTGTAATTGCCTCAGTGAATCAACTTAATCAGCACCTGTGCTCACAGTCAACCTAATGGTGCAATCTAACCTTTTAATACCCCAGAAATTAGAATTGTAAAAAATTATACACCTGATAATCATTCTGTATTTTGAAATCCTTGAGTGGACAATGAGTGGACCATTGTCCAAGGCAAATATTAAAGCTGCAGTCTGCTGAGTGCGCATATCAGAGAGAGTGTGTGAGAGAGTGAGAGAGAAGGTAGGGGAGAGAAAGGGAGGCCGAAATGTCAGGATGAAGACATGCCACAACTGATATTGATATTGGAATTAAAATGGTTTGTGGAGTGTGATTAGTGTGATTAGTTTATATACAAACATTTTGATTATTGATTATTTTCAAAAATATCTGGTTCTTCAAGTCATCTATAAATTGTAAACTGAATTGGTTTAGGTTTCGGACAGATTTCGGAGAATAAAAGCATTTCAAACAAGGCAACATTAGCTTTGAAAAATTGTGAGGGGCATTTCTGAAAGTTTTCCAATGTTTAATTG